GGTGAATGGAGAGCAGGAGGCTTCTGAGAGCTTTAGACCAGACTCGAGTTTTGAATGGGAATAGTTTACACCCAAGACTGAAAATTCCCATTTTATCTAAGCTAGAGCATGCTTGAGGCTCTTCTCATTTCTTCCACTACAAAAACACAGCACCCGGTGGGAATGGGTGCCCTGTGCCCATCAGTTGTAGGCTTGGCACCGCCTCTGCAGGCAGCGCTCGGCTTCTGGCATCGCTGCTGACTTACCGGGGACAGGGTAAAGTCACCAACCCAAAGTCAGCCACGGAGAGGGAAGTGGGGAGAGCTCCAGGCACGCAAGTCCATCATGTCCTGGACCCCAGCGAAACGCAGCCGCTGCACCCCAAGTTGGGCAGTCAAACCACCCCTGAGCCCTGGGGGTGCACAGGGAGCTCCACAGCTCTCCCCACGGCTCCTCCGCTCAGGGCTACCCTGGCTGCAGGAGGGCTTCTCCTTCCTGAAATGTGTTGGGTTCTTCTGCAGGAATAAATTAAGAAATAATAAGCCTATATTTTTAAGGATATGCCTGTATTTTGGTGGGTGTATTTTAATGTTCATCCTCTGTGTCCTTCCAGTAGCTATTAGAGACTCTCAAAGTGTCCCGAATATGTGCTCTCCTGGGGAGAATTTTTGGTGCTTTTCCTTGGATGGGTGTAAGCAGCGGTGTATCTATGGGTCTCACCTGTCCTTTCTGTGTGTATAAGCTGATGTGTTTCCACTAGTTCTCACTCAGAGATGACAGTTCCTCCCTGAAGAAGTTATTTTCCTTTATTCTAAAGTGAGAAATAGGAGTCATTTGGCCTGGGATAGGACCTACTAGTATGACCTGGCCTGGATCTCATGGAAGCTGAGGATTCAGGCACCACTGGATTGCATTTAAACTCCTGGCAGGTCAGCTCTGCCTTACGAAGTCAGAGATGCCACCAGCGCTTTGGGCTGAGCATCATGCCTGGATCTGTTTGCACAGCAAATGCCAACTTCCCTCAAGGAAGATTTGCTGTTGCAAAGGTTCTTCTAGTCGTGGAGGTCAGAAATTTTTTAAAAAAGAAAGAAAAAGGAAAATAAAGAAGGAAAAAATAAGCTATCTCCTTTCTTGGGCTGTGGATGGAGGAAAGCATTTCCCAGAGCCCCAGACGTGAGCCGCCGGGCAGGCAGATGGAGAGGGTCAGCACCAGACCTGAGTTGCCTCCAGGGGAGCATTTGGGGTTTCCTCTTGATCATGCATTAAATGGGCGTCTCCAGTTCACTCAGTGGTTTTGAACTGGTTTTGATCTGTAGACCCACATATAGGTAATGCAATACTTCAGGTACTTTGCTGTTTTTTGGGGCGGGGGGTTGCTTTTCGCAGCAACCTGGGACACACGGGTTAAACAAGACTTCCAGTGGTCTGGAAAGCAGATTTGCAAATTTTTGGTAGGATAAGAAAGGACTCTGAGATCTTTGTTCAGCCTCTGCTGCCAAAAGTAATGTTTTTTCATGAATAAAATCATGATCTGAAAAGAGAAAAAATGTTTTGCTTTTTTTTTTTTTCCCCCTTAGCCTTTAAGGCATACTCCTTATGATCAGCTGAAGTTTTGAGGGAAAAAAATGTGGAAATTTTCATTCCAAAAGGCTGAAACAAAAAGCACCACAACTGTTGAAATGTGTTCTTCCTGGGGCATTTCTTTGATGTAACATGTTTCAGAAGTGACACAATTTCACAAGCAATAAAAAAGCAGCAATTGCTCTCATCAAAAAGACTTTGCTTCCGGTTGAAATGTTTTTAAGGACAATGGTCTCCCTGGCAGGTTGGGCACCCTGACCTCATTGTAAACCTTTGGGGTTAGGAAATAGGAAACGGAAATTTTCCTATTGACTTCAACCAACTTTGTCATTGGCTATCCCTGGGTAAGTGAACTGCAGTGGAGAGATTTACAGGGGTGTTAAATAAAAAGTGGCGATAATTCCATGCTCACCTAGGAGGTACATCCCGCAGGTATGGAAAGCCCAGGGTTCAACCTCGCTGCGGTATGTATCTGTTCTCTGCGTGGTGTGAAGACCACGTCTGATGTGATGTTTCTCTCTTTCCACCCCACAGCGCCATGGCCACCTACTCTGCCACGTGTACCAACGCCAGCCCGGCGCAGGGCATGAATATGGCCAACAGTATTGCCAACCTGAGACTGAAGGCAAAGGAATATAGTTTACAGAGGAATCAAGTGCCCACGGTCAATTAACGACTAGAGGCAGCTGCCTTGCAGAAGGAGAAAATACAACAGCACCCGTCCTGCTTCGCAACTTGTTTGTGCTGAAAGAAAAAAAAAAAAAACTCAAACAAAAAAAAGCACAAAAAAAAGCACCAAAAAAAATTTTAAAAATAAGAAAAAAAGCCAGCCCTAACCCAGAACTGAACGTGGGGACCAAACTGGGAGCAAACTGAACTGCTCGTGAGTGACAAGGTTCCTCCTTCCTTTTGGGATAATGCCACCATTTTTTTTTTCTTGTTATTGTCAGGTTTATTGCTTCTGCTCAATATACTATGAGCTTCTTCGGTAAAGGACAGTCTCACCCTTGTTGGTTTCCATTTTTTTTGTATGGGACTGCAAAAAAGAAACCTCTGCTGATCTCAGCCCGTGGACACGTCCCACCCGCCATCATGCTGAGACGCAAAGCTTGCTCCTCTGCCGCCTGCCCCACCTCGCCCTAGAAGAACAAGTTGTTTGGCCACCGCTTTCTGTTGTATCCACCTGTCCCTTCATCCCCCTGTCCCTCGTGCCACAGAGGCAGCAGCGTTGCCGTTCACCTGGGAGAAGCCTGTTAGTGCAACGAGCTGAGGTCAGCCATCCTGCTCGCGTTGCCTGGACCAGTCCGAGACATGAGGAAGAACTCCTTGTGCTTCACAGCACGTCATCGCTTTCTTGAGTATTCCCGGCACTGCTGCCTCGAAAAGCCAAAGAAGAGAGAAAAGCCAACGGGGGGT